CTCTGATATTTTCTATGAGATTGCCCAGAAATCACCCTTCAGTATGATCTCAGCGGAAGCACAGCGGTCGCAGTGAGACTGGGAAGTCACTGGATAAAAGACCAATTTAACTTCTTTTTTATTTTAAAATTTTTAGATAATATTCTTAACATGAGGAGGAGCACTCTGTATGTTAAGATTATTTTCTTATTATACATGACAATGTTAGACTGTCCCTTTTGAGGCATAGTTTACACGGGGTTTGTTTTGGCCACCCATGATGCAATTTTATGGTACTAATAAAAATCTGGTTGGACTTAACAGTTGTTCAATAAACCTTGTGTTGCACCTGCCAGAGCATTAACTCCATTAGTTGGCTTGTCATGATCTTTATGTTGTGAATTAGCTAAACCTTTTTTTTTTGTTCTGGTGAATAAAAATACAGTTAAAGGAACACAATAGCATTAGGAATACAAAACGGTATTCCTAACACTATTGTGTCCCCCTGCCCCCTCACCCGGTGAATAAAGGGTTAAAACGTTTTCTTCAGTTACCCGATTCCAATGGAGAGATCACTTGGTGCTGGATGAGGCCCCTGCTTCTGTGACATCATGGAAATCCAGGAACCTAAAGTGCATGCGTGGCAAGTGCAACTAGTACATTAGGCCTTCCCCATAGGAAAGCATTGAATAAATGCTTGCCTTTGGGAATTTTCAAGACATTGGACTACCTCACACTCTATGTGAATCAAGGAAGCATCTGTGGTGGACAGCCACTAGAGGCAACCTTAGCCCTGCAATGTAAACGTTGCTGTTTCTATAAAACTACAATGCTTTACATTGCCGGGTTAGTGGAGCAGGGAAAATGCACCTAGACCTCTTCAATGAGATGGTGTCCATTCAACAACAGAAGGAGCCAGCGGAATACAAATGCTTGGAAGATGTATCTATATCTGAGCACATTTATTCTTGTGTATGTGTGCATTTCAAATTGGTGTAAAATGTGTATATCCCTGACCAACTCCACAAAATGCTGGTAAAAAAAAGACTCATCATACAGGGAAAAGAGAAAAAAAATGTGTGCAACTTTGATTCAGGACCCTGTCCCTCCCATGATTCCTATCACTACAATAAGGCATCAAGGGTAAGGTTTGACAATGACGGTTGTATGTGTCATTGGCGAAGCTAATGTGTATTCTGTGTGTGTAGTACATACCCTTAAGCTAATTTCTGAATATGTATCTATTTATAGAATTGTATATTGTCTGCATCTATGTGAACATTAAAGAAAATCGAGCCCACATAATAATTCCCAAGATATGTGTGCCAAGAAGGTCTGCATTTTCAGAGAAGCCAGCCACCTGCTCGTTATCAGGCGTAAAATATTTAAAGACAGAACAAGAACAGATTGTTAAATTTTTATTCATTTATTTAACATATCTGTAATGCTTCGTACAGAGCTCTAGCAGTTTACAAAGATACTTTTTTTTTTAAAACACCAAGGACATTTTCTTTCAAGGTTGAATAAGTCAAACTAACAACTGAAATATTCCCTAAAATATTCCAGACTATTCAGCAAGGTGGATCAAATGAACAAGTAAAAGACAAAAAATGTGCTCCATAGTAATGAAATGCAGGACTGTCAGTGAAAATGTATCTTTCTGATAGATCAATGATGGCTAGTAGACATGTGCACCAGTGAAATTTATGGGGGTCACAGTTTTCAATGGGGGGGAGGGTGGAGGAATTAATATTACAAGGAGGGAGGTGGTAGCGCTGCCGGCTCCCTCCTTGTTTTTTTTGCTTTTTTTGTGCATGCGCAGTGTTATTTCTCCTTGCTGTGGGGGTTAATTCCCCTGCAGCACGGAGTCTATTAAACGAACAAATAAAACAAAACTAATAAACTAAAACGAATGCACATGTCTAATGGCTAGTATCGGATTTTATTGATGGTGTTTTATGTAAACTACATTTCCCATGATGCTAAACCAGCCTTTAGAAATGCTTTAGGTTAGTCATCTCTTTTATAGAATAGCATCTGTTGAGGTCCACAGGACGAAACGCGTAGGATATAGATGTTGAGGACTTACATCCACTTGTTATTACCAAGTGGAGATATGCCTTTTTGATCTTTTTATCTTGTAAGTGGACTTTTAATAAATCTTCTCTGTTTTTATGTCCATCTGCACTATTTTTGGTCTTTCTTTGCCTGGCTAAAATACTATTCAGATCTAAAAAACTGCTGGACTTTCTTATGGGTAGCTATATCCCAGGCTGAATGGAATATAGAAGGATTTTTACAACAGAGATTGATACAAGCTTTTATAAAAATAAGAGTAAAGTTATAATTAAACCTCAGATATTTCATATATTCCTTGTGTATCATATTCCCTGAGTTTAGGGTTTAATCGGTATGACCATAGACCCAGTAAACCTGCTATCTCAGGATAGGATATTGCTGATAAAATCAAAGACTTGTCTTCATAGGATAGATAGGGCACACCAATAGTAACTTCTTCTAGTTACTAAGACTCGCTTTGGAATAAGTTTACGAATATTAAGTTATGCTGGTGGTCAAGCGAGAGAAGCCACAGGCAGTTGTTCCAATGATAAATTCTTTAAGAGCTTAAAGTCTTTAATGGACCACTATAAAGCTTTGCATTCCTAATGCTCTAGTGTCCCTGTGCATTAAAGGGATTTCCCACATCCTGGTGTTGGAAGGGTTAAAAAAACCTTTTAACACTTACCTGTTTTCAACACTGACTTACCTCGGCACTGACTCAGTCTCGGCTTCCTCTGACATTGCCAAAAGGGGGAAAACTAATGAGGATGCGTAGCAAGCGCGGCACACGTTAGGCCTTCCCCATATGAAAGCATTGGATCATTGCTTTCCTATGGGGAATTTGAAGACGCTGGACGCCCTTATGCAAAGTGTGACGACATTCAGTCAAACTCCGTGAAACTGCAAGAAGGTCCTCTAGTAGCTGGCAGTCTTAACCCTTCAATCCATACATTGCAGTTTCTCTGTTTTACATTACAGGGCTAAGGGGACTGGTCCAGTGCCCCCAGAGCACTTCAATGAGATGAAGTGTTTCAATGCCTATAGTGTCCCTTTAAGAATAATGTGTTGGTAACTGCACCTGATTAAAAGAATTGTAAAAGAATGCAAGAATGCTACAATGTTTAACTTTTAGTGCTTCTTCAACTGCTTAATGTCCTTTACCTAATAGCTATTTTGATGGTTATTTTAAGCATTTTAATTATTCTATCAATCTGATAGATTTTGAAAAATCATTGTGGTCTAAGAGGGAGAATTAAGGAGAACAGGATATTAGTTGTTCACGCTCTGCCTTTCATACAACAGATCTCTAAAACAATAACTAATTAGTAAAACCAAATACCTTGAACAATTCAACTGCCTGATAATGACAAGCTATAGGAATGACATTAGCGATTATATTTGTAACTATATAGCGATACACAATAAATCTTAATAATTTCTAAAAAGTATATACAAAGGTTGTAACGGATTTTAAAATTCATATAGTAAATCACTATTTATTTCTAATTATTTGCCTCATTGATCTCTTTTTTTTTTTTCATTTTGCCCAAAGTAATATGCTTTTTTTATGCCTCCTTTGCTGAATAATTATTTTTCTATTAGTGAGTTCTTCTATACACTTTCACAATGTATTACATAGGCAAAATATTGTTTCTTAATTACATTCCTTGTCATTTCATGTTACAATATTTACAGGGAAACAGTGACATACGATATGGAATGAAATTTGTAGACAAAATATAAGCAGGAATGAATAATGCTATTTGAACAGTATGTCAAGGTGTGTTAAAATGTCAATTTTAAAGGGAAAATAGTTTTTGGGTCTCATTCCCTTTTTTGGTTTTCTACCTCCGTGTCCTCTGATCATATTCATTATTAGATCTCCACTAGGTCTCAAATAACACGTGTTTTCATTAATAATTTGAATGACAAAATATGATGAGAAAGTTGATTTTACTTTTTTACTTTGTGATGAAAATCAACAACACACGTAAGAAGAGGCTGGCGAATTGCTCATGGCTTTCCAAGCCAACCAATCGAAGTAAAGTTTCATAACTCGAGGCAACGGTAGCACAATGTATAATGAAACTTGATTACACACAAAATGCAGACAGAAGCATAGAAAGCGCATGCTGATAAAAGAGCACCATATTCGTGAGCTCTCAGTAATTGGACGATTCTTAATAATGTGATACAACTATAGTAAAATAACAAAGCCCAATAGCAACTCAAAAGAAATGCCCTTCCTTGCTCATTGAAGAGCTCCTTATTTTGATCCCTATAGCCAATTGGATGGAGTGATGGAGAGACAAGATTCTATATTCTTTTTTTTCTTCTACTGAAATAGAAGTAGAAGGTCTATAAGCACGACTTTCACAGGTAAGACTTTTCTATAACATTTGTTTTCTAGGGGGGCGGGGTCCTACCTGACGAACTACCGAGAAGGGCCAGCACACGAGGAGACAATGGAACCGGGGAGAGGCTTGTGACTAACGTTTTAATTCCCCGGAGAGTCGCGCATCGCTCCTTCGGGGTGAGGCCTACTCAGGCAGCGAGCGAGGCGGATGGCCACCACCCGCTATCCTGCCCGATGCAGTCCGGACAGACTCCCTCAACTGAGCGGACCGGGCCCTGTTCCCCCCCTCTGGCCCAGCCCACACCCTGCACACTCGGCGGCTCCTGCTACACCAAAACATCCAAAATGTCGGCACAGCGTCCCGGCTGACTCACACGGACACCTCCGATTCCCGAAGGGGCATAACTCCCATGTGGCTAACTCAAATTAGGTGTACCTTAAAGGAACAACCCAAAATGCAGCAGTGCTCAGCCTCAAGGCCCGAAACCTATACACGACAAAAAAGGCAGGAGCGGCAACCGACTGATACACGTAGCTTAGACCCGGCCACCCAGACCCAACAGTCAACCCCTCAGGCCTGCACGGAGTACACACTACCGCCCAGATCCGAGGACCTGGCCCGCAACACCTCAACAATGGCACAGAGAGAAAACAGCCTAACCGCAGGAAGAGGACACCATCCGGCTGGATGAAAGCGGCTGCTACGAACTCTACACCACGAGGGGACTTGCCAGCCTCCCACTTCCACACAACTGACCCCATGCGGAGACAACCTGAGGAAACAGCTTGAGTATCGAGGAGGGTGCAAAGCTTACCGAATCCCCCTCTGTGGAACAGGACTGTACAGCTGCAAGCCACTGAGGCAGTGGGGTGTCCACAAGTTATAAGCAACTGCTCTCATGACTTTAAGTATGTTAAGCTAGGCTCTCTGTAACGCAGTAAAGGCAAAATAACATATCCCAGCTAAGTTAACACAGGAGTAATTGCTAGTTTTAAAATTGCTGTCCAACCTTGAGCATTCTGGACTGTCCAATCGATCTCCCACACACTTACCTGCACGCACAACATCACCGGCACAGTGTAAAGCAGATCAGGTCCACTCCAACCATAGGCAGGCACTCACACGTGGGCCCGAAAGATAAACCCTAACCGGTAGCACCTCACTACATACTGGTCACAGAGGAAAATTACTAACCAGAACCACAACCACATACACAGCATGACCTGACACCTGTGGCTATAAAACTGTCGGGGCCACACATATAGCCCAAGCAGACACAACAATTTAGCACTACTAGGTCAAACTGCTGCAGCTACATAGCATAACACAAGCAACGCTCATAGACCTGCCTGTTCTTTAGTAAGTTGTAATGGGTGACCTGTCACATCTTATAGTGACATATCGATGCCTTACTTAATCTATGACCTGCATACTCAGGCCTGTTTATGTTGCACTAACTGAGCATTTTAGTGTGTACTCCGTGCAGGCCTGAGGGGTTGACTGTTGGGTCTGGGTGGCCGGGTCTAAGCTACGTGTATCAGTCGGTTGCCGCTCCTGCCTTTTTTGGCGTGTATAGGTTTCGGGCCTTGAGGCTGAGCACTGCTGCATTTTGGGTTGTTCCTTTAAGGTACACCTAATTTGAGTTATGGTCCTTATATTAATTTGATGGAGGGGTAGAAAGTGTCCTAACATTTTGGGTTGGAGGGTGGGAATTTGGGTGAGGTTTAGCCATTGGGCAGGGGTTGTCTATCTATTTAGGTTCTAGTGATATAATATTTAGGTAAAGGTGGCGTTAGAGATACATATGTAGTTTGTTGCCACCAGAAGTTTTTGGCATTCTCTGGCCCAATAGGTATTCGGGTTAAGGGACAGGTCATCCTTCTCATTCTTGTATTACAGGGCTAGGAATTTCAGGAATCCTCTAGCCCCCTTTAATTATATTACCCTCCAGTTTACATAACAAGCGTGAGAGAAGGAATGGATCCATTTCCTGGGCCTCTACTTAGTATAAAATTACCATCCACCACAACTCACATGGTTTAGTGGAATGACACGGGCCATTCGCAAGGTCTCTACCTGCTTTTTTCTTTGTTCCCTCCACCAACTCTACTGGATGGAAAAGGTGGGGAAATATGCCATCTACATGGTTAATATTGAAGTTTATAGACCCATGTAACGTTACCCAGTGTTCCTCTATTCCTCCTCTCCATGTCCCTTACTGGTGCTCTCCTCTTCCTTTCTCTTAATGGTCCCCTCCCTGTCCTTTAGTGTTCCTTACCCCTCCCCTTCCTGTCCCTCAACTTCCATTAGTGATTATCTCCCCTCTTTTGCCTGTCCCTTCGTGTTCCTCTCCCCTCCCCTCCATGTCCCTTAAGTGTTCCTCTCTCCTGCCTCCCCTGTCCTTTAGTGTTCCCTCCAACCTCCCTTAGTGATCCTCTTCTCTGTCCCTTAGTGTTCCTCTTCCCTCCCCTCCATGTCCCTTAGTGGTCCTCTCCCCTTCCTGTCCATTAGTGGTCCCCTCCCCTCTCTTCCCTGTCCCTTAGTGTTCCTCTGCCCTCCCCCCTCCTCCATGTCCCTCAGTGTTCCTATCCCCTCCCTCCCCTGTCCTTTAGTGTTCCTCTCCCCCTCCCTTGGTGGTCCTATTCCCTTCCTTTCCTGTCCCTTAGTGTTCCTATTCCCTCCCTTCCCTGTCACTTAGTGGTTCCCCCCAACCCTCTTAGTGTTCCTTCCCCCCTCCTCTTAGTGTTCCTCTCCCCTCCCTTCCCTCTCTTTTACTGGTCTCCACCCCCCCCCTTAGTGTTTCTTTTCCTGTCCTTTAGTGGTTCTCTCCCCTCTCTTCCCTGTCTCTTAATGCCCCCATCCCTTTTAGTGGTCCCGTCTTAGTGTTCCTTTTTCCTTCCCTCCCTTGTCTCTTAGTATCCCCCTCCCTTAGTGTTCCTCTCTCCCCACCCCCCTTCCTTCCCTTGATGGTCCAATCCCCTCCCTTGCATGCCTCCAGGCTCCTACCTATTGTGTAGCGTGGCCCGAGCGGAGCGGACCACGGTACAGGAGCTTCTGATTCCTGTATCCGGCTGGACAGATGCTCCTGTACTGCTCCTGTACCACTCCACTCCTCTCGGACACGCTACACTGAGTGACTGGTCACTAATCTAGCGCCCCCCTCGAGGCCGATGCACCCTGAGGCGGCCGCCTGTGCCGCCTTATAGACGCGCTGGCCCTGCATAAGTACTATTTGTTTTAAAATTATTTACTTTTATACATTTTGTCCTTTCAGAAGTCCAAAAGAAAGAGCATTGTGTTGCCTTCCATTGTAGCACTGAACTGATCAACTAGTGGGCTCTTATACATGGACCCCCCTCGGCATAGTAATGCCAAAAAGCTTATTTTTTTTATTTATGGAAAATATCCCATGGTGTCACAATTTCACTTTTTCTGATTGCCTATATAGCGGTTTTCTGTAGTACCAACAGAAGTAGCTTTTTGTGTAAAATATCTAATAGTGCTTATTTAGAGATTATTGTAAATATTGTTTATAGGCAAACCTTTAAATTTACTGTCTTGAATTTTGAATTTCCTGCTTAAACCTATTTATTTATTAAACCTATATATTTCAGCTTAGAATGAGCTCAGTAGAAGGTTTTCGAGTCTAAGGAGTGAACTGGCCTAATATAATAATATAAATGTATGGTGGAAAAAAGAATAAAGGAGATATAATGCATCGGTTCATGGAGATTATGAGTCTCATAAAAAGGTGGATGAGTCAGGGATTCATGCGTCAGGCAACAGTTATTGAAATATAATGATATATTATTAATAATATCTGAGGGTTTGGATGTTTTTCCCATGACCTCCTGCTAAACAAGATACTTTGATCTGTAAAGCCACCGGTTGATTAACTATTTAGCCCCAGATAATGAACAATGCATCACTATGAAAAATATTCTTTTGTAGTTTATTCTTTTGACAGACAAGGGACGTGACTGCATTTACAAGCAAACAGGAAGAAAGTCTCTTAAAAATAGATAACCTTAAATTTATTTATTTATTTATAAAATATTTTACCAGGATGGATACATTGAGATTTCTCTCGTTTTTTAAGTATGTCCTGGGTCTACAAAACATTGTATTGGTACAATAGAATAAAATATTACAAAAATAGAATATAAAAAAAAATATATATATATATATGCACACATATCTAAATTTAATACATAACAGGCTATAAATATATTCAGCCATGACAGGTGCATTCTGTGCTTAGGTATATTGCCAAAGATCTCTTAAATAGTTAAAATATTATTAAAATACTTTATAAAATATGGTAAAAAAAAATAAATATCTACTATAAAATGTTCCAGATTTGGGATAGGTCCTGTTAAAGGTGATTTGTACCATTTATGTAATAAATCTATAAAAATCACCCATAATGTGTGATAACCTAATAATAATGTATATTAAAGATTTAGCAATTGTCATCACAATTCAGTTCAAGAGAGAGAAAAACTCAAAGGCAATTACATCAAAGTGTTCTTTATTTTTGGTCGCTAATCTGTTTGTATTTATTATATTATTCCAAATATGGTCTAAAACGTCAGATTAAATAAAATGATGGGTGGGGCATATTAAATGTCCTCAGAGATTTATAAAACCATAAGAAAGGAGACAAATGAAAACTGATTGTGTTGTAGCCCTTGGGATCATGAGAAAATAAGGAATAAGAATTACATTTACACTTCTCGGGAGCTTACATTCAGCTCCTACTTAAGCGCCTGAGTGATACGATCTCCGCCTGTGGATATAGCGTAGTTCTTATGTGTCCAATGGCGGTTGCCTGTAGAGTATCTCATATATGTAGAGGAAGAACAAGATAAAAATAATGATGATATAGTATAGTATTTTCTATCTAAAATTCCAGAGGTAGGTAAGTATAGAATTACACTCACGTGTTATGGAGCCTAACTATGGCTCCATAATGTAGCATGAAGTGATGTGTTCCCCACTTTAGGATATCTGGGTAGTGCATGTTCTCTCAGAGTACATATAAAAGAGAATAAAAAAAATATATATAGTGCACGCAGAGATGTAAAAAGAGTAAGATAAATAAAAACTTACTTACATGGAGAGGAGAAAATGCAGATTGCTCAGTCCCAAGGGAATAGGTGGTTTGTATCCCCACCAAGGATATAAGGATCAGGAAACAGCAGTATTAAGGTCCAGGATAAAAAAAAGTACTTCTTAATAAAATCAATAAAAAAAATATGTATAATAAAAAATGAAATTGAAACAAATTGCTAATATACAGTATAAAGTGGGCTTTATCAAAGTGTATTACAGAACATGGGGCCCTAAACAGCTAATGTTGAATTTGAAAATAACAGTCATGTAATGTCATAGTCATAGTCTAATTTACATACGAGAATATTAAAATATGTTTAAAAGAACTTAAAAGATAAGATAACTTAAATAGAATTGATATGGGAGGGGAATGCTACTAAAACATATATATTTGAATTGGAAATGCTTGGTAATTAAAAGGGGACATTAGAATCAACTTTATTAGAATAAATGGTAAGTTTCAAGATGGTGTTACGGTCCCGTCACGTGATCGACGTGGCCGCGGCGCTCATACAAAAAGCATTCAAACACTCGTGTGGGTCAATGCTCCAAAGGAAGCTGGAGTGAGTAGCTTAAGAGGGGCTCCCAAACCAGGCAGCTAAAGTGGAAGCTGTGCCATGCAAATAACTGGCGCGGCTTCAACAAAATGGGTCAAAACTGTAATCAGAATGGATATAGAAGCTGAGCCTAATAGCGCCGCTCCAACAAAATGGACCCGGGGGCGTGAATAGGCTCCACAGAGGAGCCTATTATTCTTACCGTTTAAGAATTTCTTTGCCTACAATATATTCTGCCATTTTCATCTTTTTCATAAAAAAACCCTGCAAATTTAGAGTGGCGGAAAAAAAAAAAGAACTGGAACAGAACACTTTTCTCATGGAATAAGTGACAGAAAGAGTAAATTAAATCCATTGTGCTGACGGGAAAAAATAGCTTACATTCAAAAATGATATTTAGGCCAAGAAGCAATAACTATAACAAAATGAGCCAAATGATTTTTAGAAATTGCAAAACTGCTTGCAACACTTTGGTTAATCTCCCCCTCTTACGGTTTCTATAAATACTGTGTTCAGTAACAGAAAAGGGAAGCACTTATAAGAGAGAGTGAGAGAGAGGGAGACAATATGGAGGCCCCTGGTGATTATTAAAATGGTGATGGTTTCTCATGAAGCTAAAGAGAATATAGAATCTAGCAATCTGTTATAATGTTACATTGTGTCTAACCCTCGGTTCTGAAAATTAGTGCCAAAGTGCATTAAACATATTACAATGCAGTAATATGAGTATATAGAATATTACATTCTGCTACTACCTTGGACTTTTGCACCTCTGTTTTTCCTTTGTTTGTGTTTTTATTTTGTGTTTTGCAATGCAGGACCTATTGAAATCTTGAATTACAGAGTGCTACCATGTCCAATTTAAATGCATTAATCTTAAACAGCAGTCATCAGGTTGCTAAAGTAGGGTTCATTTGGTGTTGTGATCACAGATTATAACTAAATCGTTATTATTTTTGCCTGTCAGATATTTTTAAAACCTATATGTATATATTTGTGGGTGTATTTTTTACATATATTTTTACAGATATGTGCTGGTTTAGATGTCCTCTTGGTCTTGGTCTCGGTCTATTGGTCTGAAAAATAGCAGTATTCAGAGGTCATTTTATAATGGTTAACACTGGACTGAGTAAATATTATTCAGCAAACTGAAGAAAAATGGAGTTTAATTAATATAACAACCATGTATTTTATGAAACCATACAGTTTCCTCTGTCACATGTCACATGTGGATCACACTAAGTGATTGTTACCATACATTAGTGGCCTGTTGGATCGATACGATTTCATCTTTCAAAAGCAAAAGTTACCGTTCACATTATTTGCCGAACTGTCATGTTCTTCAGTAGTTAAGTGTAAGAGGCCCTTGAAGATATAAAAATATAAAAAAAATGGATTTAAAATTTTTTTCACAAAGTATAACACAAAAACAAACATAAGAACTAATTGCATAATGGTTAAGCACCATAATGACAATATGGTTTATTTGCTAAACTGGGAATTGATTAGTTAAAATAGCCACGCTGGAAAAACTATCTAAAAATAATTTTGTTTTCACAAATGTTTCCAAAGTGGCTATTTTGACCTAAATTGTGTAATTCCTTTATTAATTCTCCACAATTACTGGTTAAGCGAAGTTCTATAAATATATGGACTGATGGTGCTATTATCAGCTGGTAGCAGGGGAATGTCCAGAAGAAATTAATCACAGAGCCCTCCATACTTATATAGACAGCCTATGAGTGGGTTATAAATAATTAGACAGAGGCTGCAGATAAATCCCATATGGGATGTGGTAATTGATTAGAAACCAAACAGTATACTGTAGAGAAGTGGTACACAACCCAGTCCTCATGGACCATTAACAGTTAGAGGTTTTGTCAGTATCTCAATTTGAATAAAAAAGAAAAATACATAAATCCTGGACTGTTTGTGGTCTATGAGAACTGGGTTGGGGACCACTGCTGTAGAGCATGTGTTTGTCCAGTATTTAATTAATGGGGTATCCTGCTGGCAACATTGTTTTTACATTATAACCATAACCCACATGTAACTGACAGCAGATAGCATATTCACGGCTAGAGGTACAGGCAGGGCCGCCATCAGGGGGTGACAACCATGACGGTTGTAACGGGCCCGGCGGTCCTGGGGGGCCCGGACTGCTTTGGCAGTCCAGGTCCTCACAATTACTCTCTGCACATATATATAGCGATGATCGCTATCAGGGCCGCGACCAGAAATTTTGGGGCCCCTGACACAGCACAAGGTCTGGGCCCCCCCGCCCACTCTCGCCCGCGAGACTGCCCACAGGACTCCTACCTAGTCCGCTGCAAATGATGCAGGACTGAATGTGGTGTGTATAGTGGAAGTGAATCAGAATGTGTATAATGGATGTAGTGTTTGTGTGTATTAGATACTGTTTGTGCAGTGAATGCAGAGTGTGTGTTTGTGTAGCGGATGCAGTATGTATAGTGAACGTAGAGTGTGTTTGAGTAGTGGATGTAGTGTGTGTTTGTGTAGTGGATGTAGTGTTTGTGTGTACTAGATGCAATGTGTTTAGTGGATGCAGTGTCTGTAGTGGATGTAGTGTGTGTATTAGACGCAGTGTCGCTGTATAGTGAATGCAGAGTGTTTGAATGTGTGGTGGATGTAGTGTGTGTACTGTGAATACAGGATGTTTGTGTGGTGGATGCTGTGTGTATAGTTAATGCAGAGTGTGTGTCAGTGTAGTGGATGCAGAGTATGTGTCAGTGTAGTGAATGCAGAGTGTGTGTTAGTGTAGTGTATGCAGAGTGTGTGTGTGTTAGTGTAGTGAATGCAGAGTGCGTGTATGTTAGTGTAGTGAATGCAGAGTGTGTTAGTGTAGTGAATACAGAGTGTGTGTGTGTTAGTGTAGTGTATGCAGAGTGTGTATGTGTTAGTATAGTGAATGCAGAGTGTTTGTTAGTGTAGTGTATGCAGAGTGTGTGTGTGTGTGTTAGTGTAGTGAATGCAGAGTGTGTGTTAGTGTAGTGAATGCAGAGTGTTTGTCAGTGTAATGAATGCAGAGTGTGTGTCAGTGTAGTGGATGCAGAGTGTGTGTGTGTTAGTGTAGTGAATGCAGAGTGTGTGTTAGTGTAGGGTATGCAGAGTGTGTGTGTGTTAGTGTAGTGAATGCAGAGTGTGTGTTAGTGTAGTGAATACAGAGTGTGTGTGTGTGTGTGTTAGTGTAGTGAATGCAGAGTGTGTGTGTTAGTGTAGTGAATGCAGAGTGTGTGTTAGTGTAGTGTATGTAGAGTGTGTGTTAGTGTAGTGAATACAGAGTGTGTGTGTTAGTGTAGTGAATGCAGAGTGTGTTAGTGTAGTGAATGCAGTGTGTGTTAGTGTAGTGAATGCAGAGTGTGTGCTAGTGTAGTGTATGCAGAGTGTGTATTAGTGGAGTGAATGCAGTGTGTGTGTTAGTGTAATGACTGCAGTGTGTGACCTTGTGCTGTGTCAGGGGCCCCAGAATTTCTGGTGGCGGCCCTGGGTACAGGTCTGGCAAAGTGTATTCTCCCTGGAACAATTGGAAAGAGCTAGTGCTGAATACTTCATGGGAACATCTAAACCAGGCATCCCCAAGCTTACCCTTCTGTTAATCCCAGCTCAGGTCTCAAAAACATTTTAGCTCACTTATGCCATTATAGAGAGAACCCACACCATATGCATATCAGACTGATCCCACCCATAAGGGCAGTCCAGATCCAAAATATTGGCACGTTCCCTTTGCACGAGAGATGCAGCAATCCTAGACAATCATTTTGGCCTTTTTTGGTACATGTCAACGAGGTGTAGCTGATACCTCTCTAGTTAAAGTGAGCATGAGATCCATTATCTGGATCATCCTTTCAACTTGGGGACACCCTGTGCAAAAGCATTGAAACAGAAACAGAGAATATGAGAACTCTGAGAACAGCCAAAGGCTCAATAATCTGCCCTTCGCTTAATTTGTATTCAGGTCTCAAAACAGTTTATGGATACAGTCGGATGACAGAATTACAACATAAAAAAGAAAAGCCAGCACATACTAACAGGTCCAGTAGAAAAGAAGAAGAAAAAAATGTTTTCTTCAGATAGAGGGTGCGGAATTAGCCCTAAGTCCAAAACATAAGAAAACGGTCCAGCACTCCAGCAAATAACCTTATAGGTGCTCTTACCCAATACATTGGAGTGCATCTCACTGAAAAATAATTATTGGAGTGATGGACCCTTTTCTTAGGTTTTGGACTTCTGTATGACAAAAAAGTTGATCTTTACATGTAGATGTAAAATGGCTAGTGCAAACTCATACAATTAGTTGCCTATCCCAGTCCAACAAAATCTACCTCTACTCCACCCAGCTAGGGAACTTACCCTACCCAACATTTCATTATATATTGAATTAATCAGAATGCACTACTTATTTGTAAAAAAAAAAGTCTTATTGGAAAAATGTTTAATAATCTGTGAATTTGTGTTGTGACAACCTTGAAATAAGTTGTGAGATACCAAACGGAAGCAAAGGTGTGAACAAGTGATTTTTGTGCTAAAGTCCAAGTCAAGTCCCGAGTCAAGACAGGCAAGTGTAGGTCAAGTGTTCAAGAAGTCATTAGTACTTAATTACCCAGAAAGGCATTTAAAATATGTTTATCTTTTCCCAGTTTAATTTCATATGAGATTCAACATTTGAAATTGTGACATGCACTTAGTAAGGACAAACAGTGAAAAAACAGTACTTTTTGGTAAATGAGAGTAACACAATTATTATATAAAATAACACAACTGCCAAATACCCCAAAACCCAAGAAACTTTCAAATGGTGTGCTGTTATGGTTTGAGAGAGTCAATGTGAATGAGTGAATGACTGTTTGAATCAGTGAGAGTGAATGTTCTTTTCTTTGGACCCTACTATGCATTGCACTTGCAAAAGACTAAATTGGTTAAACGTCTGTCAGACTTGCGCACAATGGGGGCCGAAGTATGATGCCTCCATGGCTAAAAATACACTCCCCCTGGTACTACACGCAGGCGCTGCCAAGACCCTAAATAGTGCTGGAAGAGTATTCATGTTCACAGCCCAGAACAAGAGAGCATTCTGACCTTCAGATATGTCAAAGTAGTGACTGATGCTGATGCATTGAAGTGTTTCCAATGACCCTTTTTGGTCTCATGCAATAAACTGCAAGCAGCCTCACCTCATCTTCAGACTGTTGACCCTCTTTCTTTTCATCCTCAAAACAAGAAGCAGGTGATATATCCTCAACAGCATCTTGCAAGATCAATTCTAGCAAAGAATAAGCACATCAGAAAGTAACAGACAGATAATACCATTACAATTAAATATGTAGTTAGTTTAACTAAAAAATGTTTTTGTTTTAATCATTTACAGGAAAAGTCATTAAACATGATAATATGTAACCTTCACTTTTTGTGCAATCACTTACTTAACTTCAGGGTTGACTAGAATGTGACGCTCTATAAACTGCAGTGAAAATGTTGGATCCAAGACAGCCGCTTTTAGGTAGACTTCGTATGAAAAATGTGCAGTATTTAATCTTTTGTGCTTGCCATTTTAACATTAACATAGACTCCAATTAATCTTTTGGTCAGGGATTACTGCAGACTCCTGACCAAGCTACTTAGGAAAGAGACCTGAGGCTTCAGCTTCTCCAAGTGGTGACTCAGGGCAAGAACAGATGGAACAACGAAGTAGATTGTCACCATTTTCTCCCCCTGGGCCCAATCTGTTGCCTCTGAAATGGTTCCAGTATGTCCTCCAACTGTTTCGATTGATGCCACTCCTTTGACTCAACAACAGTTCCTTATGTCCAGAATTTTCCAGGACACAATAGACCTTTTGATGATCACATTCAACTACTGCCTGTACCTGTGTATCTGTCTCAGTGTTAAGTTCCATCTTGTGTTGGTGGCAGCTAAAATCTTTCTTTCTCCAAATTCAGACTGAAAAAAAGTCTTTGAATGTTGCACATTTATGAAGCTATCAGCTGATTTTGGATAAGTTTCAGTGCACACAACATCATATTTGTTTCTTTCACGCCATACTTCACTACGAGCTCAAGAGTGTCGGTGAAACACTAAAGACGTTGTTTACTTGCCTTGGCTGCATCCAGGAATTGCTGCTCCACTTGCCCTAGGGCATTTGGTATTCTAGAGCTGTGGATCATCAGGTTGGTCCTTACCATGTATGTCATCTTCTTGTTCAGTGGGGATGCAGACAGTGAAGGCTTTCTTCATATTGGCAGCATTATAACTAATAATTTAATCTAATGTATATTTAATGTTGAAATCATCACAAATGACCTTAAATTGCTCACTGATTCTTTGTTGGCCTTTGAAATGATTACAATCCAATATGTACTAATCAATGCTTCCTACTTTTGAGGCCAATGTTCTACAGCACACTGGGGTGTACTTCTTGTCAACCACGCAGAGAAAGTGATGAAAACTCTTTTTCACAATAGACAGAAGTAGGTTGCAATCAATAACTAGGTCAGACAGAATGGAATGAGTTATAGCTTTCTGTTGTGGATGACTGGAACTGTACTGTCCAACACGGTCTTCCATTAGCTGTGAGAATAAAGGTTGCGGTGAATAATTTCGGATGTATTTGTTAAAATGTTATTCTTCATACCTGTGTATGGCAAAAGTGATACAAGGCAGAGATTCTATAAATAATATTCAGAATAAATACAAATGTTGAAACAATCGGTATTTTCCAAGTAGGATAGTAAACATTATTACATGACTAGCCAAAGGTGTCATACAGCGACTGCACATCCGGATACTTTCAAGCCCATCACTCATACCGTGAGCCAATGAAATTGTGCACTTCAGACTACTTGCGTGAGCAGCATGCATCTTTAAAAGTCCTTATTTTTCATGCAAGAAAAACTTTAACATACATTTACAGTGGACTGTGGATGTGCATTCTGTCAACTTTAATTCTATCATCACTACTCAAACGTGGATTTTAGTTACATAGTTTGACCTCCATTGGATCATAGAGCATTTTCTAGCCGGTTCTACAAATTGCAATCGTCTTGTTGCCTTCGATTTTGTAATATATATTCTTTATATCCGAAAGATGTTACCTTTGTTAAAAGTTTCACTGTATTGTCTTTGAAGTCATGCAAAATATGAATAAATATACATTATGATATGCCTAATAAGCAATATTAGCAATTTTAAAACTTTATATAGCAACATTTCAACCAATAAATGTATTTTATTCATATTTCTATTAGGAGGTTCAGGCGAGCATACAATATTGAAATCATTACTGTTGTGGACAGAATCATGGGCGTCCGCAGGGGGGGGCAAGGATTTTTCAGCTTGTTCTGCTATTTTTCGTGTGAGATTTAGAATGAACTGCAATACCGGCGCCGGCCAGTAGGTGGCGCTGTGTATGGAGAGAGACAGGGATAGGAAGCTGCATCTTATCCCTGCTTCTCTCTGCTGATTGAAACCGCAGGGGAGCAACACATGCAGCCAGAGACAGCCTACAGATCAGGGGAGTGAGGGATGGGGGAGGGTTTGAGATAGCCTATAGATTTTTTGGGGGGGCAGCAGCCTATAGATTGTGGGG